AAGAATTAAGTTTTTTGTAATTGTATTCATGTTGTCGTCTTCTTTCACTTCCATTTCTTAAATCCTTCGGGATGCTTATCTAATTGGGGGACGAGGATAGGTGCGAGCTTTCATAAGAAATTCTTTCAAAGAGAGGATATTATCAGTGATTCAACAGTAGTCTATTTGTTTAGCTTGCTTGGCATTAGTAGCACTATTTGTTTAAACCGCAGCATTTTCCCTATGCTAAACTGGAATTGTGCAGAATTATTTCATTAACAACGGACTGAAGGTATTTTGTGTGGACTTTTTTAAGCTTAGACTGGACTGGACTGGGCAGTACAGTACAGTTTTGAGATAGGCGTGACGAAATTTATGAGATGCAACTTATACAATTCAGCATATGAAAGGTGTCCAAAACGGTGTTTTCTTTTTCCTTTTCCTAAAGTTTTCTGATTCTGCTCTTTGAGATTGTTCCTTGGATAATAGCCATTTGTGTCTATATTAGACAACAATTTTCCTTCATATAAAATTTCTTTAATTGTTGGACCGACAGAAAAATAAACAATTTCCAGCATTATCTCTCTTGGCATTGGATTCTCTTCTCTGTGGAAATATCTCTCTTGGCATTGGATTCTCTTCTCTGTGGATACGAGTACTGCCTATTGCTTAAGGTAGAGCAGGACGGTACGAACCCGTCATGCATGTGTGGCCGGGCCCACAAGTCCAGCCCATGTCGACTAGTTCAATCGGACTTGATGCTAAAATATGCTCTCATATTTCCCACGTAATTCTATGATCCATAACCAGCCCCTGTGCAAAGTGGAAAGCTGAAGAAAAATGAGGTTGTAGACCAGAACCAGATAAAATTATTTGATTATAATGATTATGACTAATTCGTGTTACTTGTATAACAGATCCCTACATATGAAAGTTGTCTAGTTGCATTTCAATAGCTCATTTGAAAAATAAGAAACCTAGAGACTTTTTCACTTCCTCATATCACCTTGACAGAATGAAAGTTTCTCAAAACAACGAAAATAGAACTCAATGGCAGGGACTAAACAAAAGAACAGAACAGGGAAATGGAACAAATAGATAAGCTAGAACAATACCAACTTGAGGCTTGACAGATAATATGATGACATCACTGTCTTCAACTACTGATTTTTGAGACGCACAAGTTAAATGAAATGACATCAATCCTTATATATGACAAGGCAACTGTGACTGCCCCAAGCCCTAGACCCAAGTTTCACTGAACATAAGAAATGTTACACCAAAAAGAAATAATAACATGATTTTAAGAGAAACTAAGTATTCAATAACTATTCATTTTAAGAGAACTTAATATTTAGAAGGGGAAAAAATCTTTATATTTAACGACTTTGATTTCAAGATAAATACTTTTAACAATAATCATCAAAAATCCAAAGAAATTCATAAAAGAGAAATTTTCCTAAATATTTTTCTTGAGTTCCACAACCAAAAACCACTTGCAATCATCGGTGTCCTTGAACAATTAATTTCCTATAGGGGAAAGAGAGGAGTCAGATAAAATCTCAATAAACAAGTAGCAAGTAGAGTACATTCAACATGAATACTACATAATCATACTTACAAGTGGAACAATGTGAATTTGAAGCCAATTCTTTTGTAGGCCCGAATTTCACATGTAGTACTATAACTCCTATCCATCTTTAATAACATATCATATTTGAACTCATAACATAATTGAACGTAAGAAGATACTCAAATAACTTTGATAACTCTAAACTTCGTCCAATTTTTCTCAAAAAAATTGCGTGAGCGGGGCAGGAAGAGATGGCGAATTGAGTGGTATATACTCACACACATACACTTGGTATTAGGTTTTAGGGGGAATAATTTTTTTTATAATCCTAGAAAATAATAATTGCCTTCTAATTAAATATGCACACATAATTTTGCAAGCAAGAATCTCAAATTTTCCATAAGTGTAAGTCAAACAATACGACAAAAATCCGTACCAGTTTGATTGAAAGAGCATTCTAGGCTTAAATAGATGACTTAACAATAAATTATATAACAAGAATATAATTCCCTTAGCCAAAGAAGATAGTTCTTTTATTTTTTCCAAAACACCAAATCTAAGTTACTGTTCCTAGGGCGAAGAAAACTGCATTTTCAGAATTTGCAAATAGGTCCCTCAAATATGGACAACAAAACAATTTTGAACCAAACTTTTGAACTCTTAAAAGTAGGTCCTAGTTTCAAAATCAACAGTCAAGGCCTAGAATTGGAGGTTTTACAATCTTTTCAACTTAAAATTAAATTTCGTCCACCTTGGTTGTCGTCAAAAGTTGGGAGAAGTTAAAAGTTTTCAAAGTTCTTTTTCAAATGATAATTTCCCCAACATTCCTTGTCCAACCTTCAAGAAAGGTAAACAAGCTTCATGTGGTTAGCGGCTATAATGCACCATCATGTAATGTTCAACACGAAAATTGGAGCTGATGCAACAAGTCGGTAACATGTTGATTAAAATTTTTAAAATTCTTCATCATATAGTATAAATTTAGTTTTATATTTGTGAGTAATTTTTTTATTAAAATCTTTTAAATATAAGTACCTATTTATTATTTAACAATATTTTTAAGTTCAAAATATATAATATTTATGATAAAAAAAAATGGTCATGGTAGTGTATTTGATTAATATCGATATCTGACACGCCATCCTATTTGAAGTATTCATGCAACACAGGTTAGCGGGTCATCTTTATTTATTTAAAAACATATATACTTTTCACTATTTTACAAGTCCAAATATGATGTGTAAGATGGATTGGAATCGTAGTATTAAGTGAGAAATTTGATAATATGAAGGATTGGCTTCAAATTCTCGTTCCTTCCCTTAAAATATTATTATGTAATATCACTAATTGGACCATTTTTTGTTGTAACTCCACCTTGCTACCAGTTTTAGAGACTTTGTAGCATCCTTCTCTTCCGTCTACGCCAAATTAATGGTTAGCAGGTGACCCATGCTTGGATGTGGTTTGCAGTGGTGGAACTCAAGAAAATTACTTTACAAAAATTTCTTCTTTATGATTTATTACATTTTTAATTTTATGTAAATTTACCTAAATAGACATATATAAAATTAAATAAAAACAGATCATTCTAAATTCATCCACTCATTTATTTTAACTAAACTCTTTTGAACCTTTTTATATTCTTTCAGAATTTGTGTTTAAATAAAATCTTAATTGAATGAAACTTATCAGGACAACAAACGACTCGCTGAAATTGAATGTTACTAATATAAACAGTAGAAGTACCTCCGCAATAAGATTTTTATATGAATGATGTTCATATCTCAGATTTAGATGCGCAATATGCCCAACAGTTACGAAAGTTGAAGGAATAATCATACCTTGCGGAAGCAAAACCTCCAAAATCTGTAACAATTACATAATCGTCATATTATACGAGCTCAAGAGGAACTACTATAATCCAAAGACATTTTAATAATTCAATGCACTGAGCTTCTGCCCGCAGCACATATCAGCATGGAGTCAATGAGTTTTCACTTCTTGTATTTAGCTTACAAACTAAAGTGAATAAAAATAGGGGAAAAATTTCTATGGAGCAATTTTCTTATTGTGATGGCAGTATGAAATCATTCAAAAGAAAATACAAATGATAGAAACTATAACACTTCGGCTTTTCTTGCCAATTAAAACACAGAAATACAATGGACAAATTATTTGTTACTTAGACCCTTGTAAAAAATGCAAGAAATATCCGTATCACAAACTTGACACGTGGAGAAGGGCTTGGTAATAAATTCCAAAACAACGTTACAGATGTTTCATAAGTTATAAGACTGTTTTGAAAAAAAAAATGCCAATTGTCCATAGAATGCTGTATATTACATTGGACATTGTTTTGCCATGGAATGAAGAACAAGAGTTCAGAAATGTACCATCTTTCTTGGATTAATTGCAGACTTTCACACCACATCTTATACAAATATAAGAAAACCACTATTTCTGATTCCAAAAGCTACCCTCTTGTTTACCTCTTTTTTCATTCATGAAAGGAGTATTGAAATTTTTCCATGTCTACACATCCAGAGTTTTAGAGGTTTGATAAAGTTTAACCTTGTAAAATACCCATTATTATCGCCCAATTGAAGATTACATTAAATGCACAGAGTCTCACGTCATCCAAGTTTTTATAAAACTTAGCAGAGTCGAAGTGCACACAGATCGTGTGTAAACATATGTGTAGAACAGACAGAAGAAAGAAGCATGAATAAAAGTATAACATTCATGTAGAAACAAGAAGCTAGCAAGAAAAAGGAAAGGCAAAAATCAGAAAAGTGCATCGAATGTCTCATTCTGTTCCCAGTAATAATAAACAAAGTCTCTTACATATAATGGGGATGAATATAGTGATATATTTTTTTTGAAATTTAGAAATTATTTTAGGGATGTATTTAGATGGGGATGGATATATAAAATATGTGTGGATATATAGTGTTTAAATGAACTAATTCAATAAGGACAATATTGGAATGTTACGTGGATGACAATAGTAATTTTTTAAAATTTTAATAATTTAGTGGGAATGAATATAGAATGGGATGAATATATAAAAATCATGGATATAAATAGTCGTACCCTTTAGATATTATCTAACTGTTTCATACCCTTTAGATATTATCTGACTGTTTCATAGCAAATGGGCCTTTGAATTTGCACTCTGAAATGTAAAAGACATGTGCCTCTACAATGGTAATCCTTTCATTCACCGCTTGTCGTTTTTACCACTTTCAAAATTAAAGAGAACAATGGGTGGTTGGAGGCATGGGGTAAAAAGGGGAAAACTTAAAGTAGATTCTTCAAAATTCACATGCAACCATCCTTTATTGTCGTAACCTTCAATTAATTGAAATTGGACTGCTCTGTACAATGGGTAAATAATCTCTAAAAATGAGCAATAAATATGGAACAAACAGGCGCATATTGTATGGAAAAATGCTGTCTATAGTTACTTCAAATAATTGTCTGGTCTGTCCTCAGTGGAAACTGACGTGTAAAGGTAAGTTGATGGCCCGGTAATTGAATTATTAAGAGAGTGGAAAATGCTGTGCAGTTTGCATCATTGTGATAAAGCAATCGTACAGAAATTGGAAATTTCAGTTCTTGAATGTAATGGAAGACCAACACCCTTCAGCAAATAACACCAGAGATACCGAATGTAAAATTCCAATTCCAGAAGGTGAAGGTGAAGATCATCATCAGTATTTCGATGGTCGCCGAATACAAAGAGTGCCCCATTTTATTCGATTCAAGAAACACAACGTAGAGGATTATTACGCTCCTAAGATTGTTTCCTTTGGCCCTTATTACCATGGCTTGCCAGAACTTGGAATGGCAGAGGAATTCAAGCACAAAGCCCTTACAATGTTTGTTTCAAGCAGCGGCAAAGACAGAGAATTATTCTACTGCCAGATCTTTAAAGTGATTCACCAGATTAGAAATTGTTACGTTGGGGTTTCTAGAGATTCATATGATGATGGAGCACTAGCAGAAATGATTCTTCTAGATGCATCTTTCGCTATTTATCTAATGACAATTTCCTTAGAAGATGAAGAAGAATATTTCCATTTCTGTCAACATCTTGGAATGGCTGCAGTGTCATTAGTATATCGTGATATGAATTTATTGGAGAATCAAATTCCACTCTGGGTTATTAAGCTCTTGATTAATTTAATATACGGAGAAGGATCCATGTTACTTTGTAATTTCTTAAGTTCCATGATTTTGGAGAATACCAGTCTAACAAGAATTCCTGGAGAAGATAAAAAGCAACCACTTCACCTTCTAGATGCTTATCATCGACTACTTGCCCAAGAATGGGATACAGCAGGAAAAATACTCGTCCAGCCTGTTAAAAAAAGTCAATGGCGGTCGTGGAAGAAAGAGAATCGAAAGGAATTTGGGAAATGCAATCGTCAATTTCGTTCAATCACCGATCTCAAAGCAAAAGGTATTCACTTCAAACCTAGTTCATATTGTTTGACGGATATTAGGTTCAAATCATACACATTTTATGGGCAAGTTCAACTCCCGGTTTGGCTTTTCACTTATATTTCCAAGCCATTCTTTATAAACATGATTGCATATGAAGCATCTCCAGAAAGTGACACTGGCATTCCTATAATATGTTATGTTAATTTCTTGAAATCGCTCATTGTTAAATCTGAAGATGTGAAGGAACTGCGAGAAAAGAAGATACTCTTTAGCACCCTCGACAGTGATGAACAAGTTGTTGAAGTAATCAAAGAGATTGATACTTCCGGACTTGACAATTACTATATTTTTGATGATGTGAAGATGAGAATCGAGAAGCACTGCAGTAGCAAGGCAAAAACATGGATTGCTGAATTAATTCATACTTATTTTCGCAATCCGTGGACTTTCATTGCCTTACTCGCTGCCACTTTTCTTCTTTGCTTAACTTTTCTCCAGACCTATTACACAGTGAATCCTAAGTAAAGGTGTGTGGCAAATTCTGTTCTTCAAGTTTTAGTCGAGATATGTTTCGATTCTTCCAAAAAAGATAGGTTTGATGCTTTTGTATTTATTGTATTAACCTATGTTTGTATTATAGGAATTCAAATCTATAAAAGTAGTATTATAACAAATGTTTATCAGATGATTGAAAACAATATAAGTTCTTGAATTTATATTTTGAATGCTAAGAATATGTGAAAAAATTATGCCCTCAAGATGTTAGATTAATTGTCTTGTCAAGAAGATTTCACTTAAAAGAAAGAAAAGAGAAGGGTGGGTGACGTTAGGCAGGATAGCGATTATCCTTCAGGCTAGCTGCAACAGATAATTCACAGGAAATAATACGAACGAGAACCCCCAAAGATAGAGATAATTCACTAAAATTCAATTCAACTTTATTGAATTGTAGAATGATGAAAATAACCCACAAGCCGGGTTATACAGCTGAGAAAATTCAAAATTATCGAAATTTTACCAAAAATAGCAAAATCTTGATAATCATACCAAAATGAAATACGTAATAAAAGAAGTATCTTGCCAAAAATCTGGCTCAAATCGAGTTCATAATCATCTCGAAAACGGAAAATGAAATATTACCATAAATGTAAAAAAAACTAAAAAATGAAAATTTTGAAGGGAAAACAGCGAATTTTGGCCTCGAAATTGACATGCACCACAATGTGTGCACCAAAATGAGCTTTTTGAATTGGGTTTATAATTGCAATTCTGACAAACGTAGCCAAAGTTATGGCCAAATTATCAAAAATATTCAAAAATGTCCTAATTAAAAAAAGATCACAACCACTTGCCATCTTTGTGCCAATCTACCAACTCATGGTATCTTGTGCCATCAACGTGCATCACTTGACTCGAAACCTCTTACATCAGTCGCCCCGAATTGAAAAAAACTTGCCCTCGAGTTCACAATAGCTTCATTTGAATTTATAAAATAAGGGCATAGGCGCTTCACATTGAAGACATCAGAAGTCTTCAAATGGTTGGGGAAGCGCAACCTGTAAGCATTATTATTGATCTTTCCCAATACCTTACAAGGTCCAATCTTCCGTTCCTTAAGCTTATTATACTCCCCAACAGAAAAGCAATTACGGTCTAATACCGCTCGAACAAAATCACCAACATCAAAAAACACCTAACGACAAAGGCTGTCGGCCCGAACCTTGTACTTAGCATTACTCTCTTGAATGGTTAGCTTCACCTGTTCATGGATATCCTAAAGATGATCTGCCATTTCATCGGCCTTGTGACTAAAACGACCCACATGTGGGATAGGGGCTAAATCAAGTACTCCGAATGGATTCCGACCATAGATAATCTCAAAAGGGCTTATTTCAGTGGTTCTATTCTTCAATTGGTTATAGGTAAATTCTACTTGAGGCAACACCAAATCCAACTTCTTCGGTTTAGTCCCTGCCAAACTTCTCAAAAGGTTACCCAAACTCCGGTACACCACCTTGATCTGAAATTCTGTCTGGGTGGTAGGCGTTACTAATTCAACCGCGTTCCTAGTTTCTACCATACGTTTTTCTCGAAATGACTCATGAACTTGGTGTCATGATCAGAAGTAATAGACTGGGAAACACCATGTAAATGCATAATCTCCCAGAAATAAAGATGGACAATCCGGGTAGCATCCATTGTCTTTTGACAAGCTACAAAATGTGTCTTTTTGGAAAATCTGTCAACCATAATAAAAATAAAATTCATCGCCAATTGAGTACGGGGTAAGCCAATACAAAATCCATGCTGACATCAATCCAAGGGGCTTCAGATATAGGTGAAGGCATGTACAATCCCGCATTAGTGAGAGCTCCTTTAGACCACTAACACACATAACAATGCCCTACATAATGCGCCACGTCACTACTCAATTCGGGCCAATAATAGTCAAAAGAAACCAAAGCCAATGTCTTATCTCACCCAAAATGTCCCTCGTTATGAAGTTCACTAATAATTTGCTGTCTCAATGAACAATCTGAAACGCACAACTATAATCTACAAAGAGATAGCCATTATGCAAAATGAAGTCATGTCATTGATTATCAGTTACCTCCTGAATTATCTTCTCAAAGGAAGGATCTATAGCATACATATCAGGAAATGCCTCAAATCCTACAACCCTAGTGCTCATGGTAGTAAGGAGTAGTGTGCAAAGGCTCAATGCATCTGCGACACAGTTCAGACAACTAGCTTGGTACCATAGTGCAAATGTGAACTTCTGCAAGTACGCCACCTACTTTGCATGCCGTCTACCCACCCTATGTTGACCATTGATGTATTTTCAGGGCTTCATGATCTGTGACAAGAATGAACTCCCTCTTTACCAGGTAATGACACCAACGTTTCAGCGACTATGGCATAAAACTCTAGATCATATGTGGAATAATTCTTTTTCGATCCTGATAACTTCTCATTGAAAAAGTCTACTAGGTATCCCTCTTAACTCAGAACATCGTCAATGCTAACCAGATGCATCACGATTTACTCCAAATAACTTTTCAAAGTCATGAAGTGCCAAAACTGAAGCCTTTATCATCTTTTGCTTGACAAATTGAAAGTTGGTCTCTGCCTCCCTTGTCCACTAAAAATCACGTCCCTTAAAGCACTCTGTGATAGGAACAATTAGAGTGCTGAATTTTCTTATGAACCGGCTGTAGAAGGACGCCAATCCATGGAAACTTCTGACATGTTGCAAAGTGATTAGTATCTAAAAGTGCTTTAAAGATATATAATTTACAAGGCATTTTACATTCACTTTGTTTAAAAACACTAATGTTAGTCTCTAATTTCAATTTTCTTGCTGTAAATTCAATTTTCATAAATACATGGTTAAAAATGCAATTAATTAAAATACGTATTTACATACATGTCGGCATGAGTATTATACATTTGAAAGAGTATCTATTTCATGTATTTCACATGTATTTCCAATTTAGAACAAGTGGAGCAAGTGGAGGAAAAAAATGTTGAAAAGTCAAGAATTGTGACTGTCTCAAGCAAGAAGCAGCTGTCAATAAAATGATCATAACTTGAGCTGCAGACATTGAACCAAGGTAATTCAAGTTGGGTTGGAAGATAAGGCATGTTTCTACAACTTTCATGTTTTTTCAAGAAGTCAAATTCGTATCACAAGGCAGCCAAAATTATCGTGCAAAGACCAGCTTATTACCTGCCGAATACAGCTTTTCTACCTGTGAAGCAGTACTCATTATTTTTGTCATATCTGGAGTTATATAGATCCAATGAACCTGATATTTGGACCAATGGAAAGCTAACTCAAGTGGAAATAATTTATCTGTTGATCATAAGTCCAAATTTGCTACAAAATGTATCTGACAATTGGCATCAAGTTGCATATTCCAGCTGTCTTGAAGCTGGACAGAAACAAGTTGCATTGTCTACTTGCATTTTTTATGTTCCTTTGCATAAAAAAGGGGACTTTGGCCACGATTTTGAGAGAATCAATTCCTCTCCATCATATTCTAGTTTCCTTCATTTTCTTTGTAACATTTCATTATGTATTTCTAAACCATTAGCTAGAGCTAGGGGTGAAATTTTGGTGAATGCATAGTATCGTCTTTGATCTTTCATTTTGTTCTTCAATGTTCATCTTTTTACTTGGTTGAAGTATATGTTCTACAAATGGTTTTGATTTGTTAAAGATTTTGATTTATTGTTGACAATTTTGGCACAATAAATGCTTAGATAATCTCTACATTCCACAAACTTATTTTGACATATTCTCTCAAACAATTATCAAGATTTATCTTTTAATATATAATGTTTTATCTTCCATATGAGATCACTCCTTAGTTGATTTTCATATGAGTTAAATTAAAGATCAAGGGCGATTTCTACTCATTTATCCGAAGTGAATCCCCGATGCTCTAGTGTTCGTCTTCGTCGTATTTCCACCAACCATTTACTACTCATAGACTAGTTTATTTCCTTCCAATTCTCCGTGGTTCGACCTCGGACTTCCGAGATTTACTACCTGCGACAACCTGCACTTAGGTTTGCAACCTTAAAGTTGTAGCACAAAGTCTTTAGCATGGGCTAATTCAAGATCACCTCTATTTTCGATTGATCGGCATGAACACCATCTGTAGACACAACAAAACCCCAAAAAGTAACAGAATTCATGAAGTAAGAACACTTATTCAAATCGATGAATAGGAGATCCATCCTCAGCATATCAAAAATATCACAGAGGTGGTCAAAAAGGTGACGCTCATGTTAGACTATAAATGAGGATGTTATCAAAGTAGACTTCCACGAACTTTCCCATGAAAGGCTGTAAAGCCTGATGTATGAACTAAATAAATGTGTTCGGCGCATTGGATAGTCCAAAGGGCATGACCATCCACTCATACAACCCATGTTGCGCCTTGAACGCCGTTTTCCATTCATCTTCAGGCCTTATTCTGATTTGATGGTATCTGCTTTTAAGGTCAATTTTTAAGAAGAACTGAGAACCGGACAGCTGATCTAACATATCATCTAGATAGAAAATTGGGAACCTGTACTTCACTGTAATCTTGTTGATTGCTCTGCTATCAACACACATATGCCAATACCCATCCTTCTTCGGCACTAGTTAAGCAGGAGTGTAGCATCTCTCTAATAATTCTACCGCCTGTTACTATAACTCTTCTACTTCATTGGGACTGAGGTAATATGCTGGTCGGTTAGGTAAGCTTGACCCAGGAATAAGGTCGATCTGATATTGAATATCCTTCATAAGTGGTAAACCCGGAGGAAGATCTTCTTGCTTCAGGTCAGAAAACTCCGTTAGCAGCTGCTACAATTCTGTTGGTAAATCTAGATCCTCGTTCACTGCATTATTCTCATAAGGTAGCATAGACAAGTCTTCATGCCCAATCTCAATCAAAATCCTAGACATAACGAGCAGGTTGGTATTATTAACTATTTGTTTAGGGATAGTTTCTTCCTAGCAAGGCGCCAACACAATCTTCTTCCCTTTGGTACTAAGGGAATATGTATTCTTCTGTCCATTATGAATAACACTGTGATTATACTGCCAAGGTCAGCCCAACCAAACAAGACAAGTATCCATAGACACAACAACACACCAAGCATTATCAAAATATTT